GGAAGATCTCTCTTGCCACCAAACAATGCAATGAAAGGCAGCAGAAATTGCCAAATCTCTTGGAATAGGGCATACAAATTTCAAAACTAGGAATGGTTGGTGTGACCACTGCATGCACCGAATGTCTGTCTGTCAAAAGCTTCTGAGTGACTTTTAAGAATAACGGATTGGGGCTGGAGCGATGGTTCAGCCGTTAAAGGCTAGGCTCACAACCAAAATATAAGAATAACGGATTGATTTCTAGCTAATGTAATTGAATAATTAAAAAAACAAGACAAAGGAAAGAAGATAAACTAGGGGTTTAACCAAATAGGTTAATGAGCCCCTGGCATTCTGCTGCATGCTTTGATATGATTTTGTCATATCATTCATCACAAGTCAGAGTTATGAGAAGCAGCCACGTGCCACCTCAGGAAGGTGCATCAATTCTGAAAAAAATAATTCTCTGATGTGAAGAAAGCTTAGATTCTACTTTTGTTGGAGTTATTGAAGAAGAAGGTGAAATATAATAATAAAATGTATATATTCATATGTATGTATGTGTGTGTACACAAATATACGTTATTGTCAGCAGAATAAAACTTGGGCACATTAAATGTAATATTTTTTCTGCTGGGTGGTGGTGGCGCGCACCTTTAATCCCAGCACTCAGGAGGCAGAGACAGGCAGATCTCTGAGTCCAAGGCCAGCTTGGTCTACAGAGTAAGTTTCGGGACAGCCAAGGTTACACAGAAAAACCCTGTCTCAAAAAGCCAAAAAAGTCATATTTTCCAAAAGCTATGGTTAAACCAATGTCCCACAATCCCCATCATATTTGGATTCAAAAAACAATCAAGGCCATACCATATGTAGTTTTTGCATTGTAACTTTAATTCAACATTATAATCTGAGTATTTTCAGAGCCATGGGATATTTGGAAATATGATTTGATATATTGCTGTATTGAAAACTTGATTTTCAGAAAGGTTGTGCCAATTGACAATCTCATTTACAGTTAATGAAAGTGTACCCCATTCAATATATGGCTTTTACTAATTAAAATTACCCTTTTGCTCCTCTGACAGGCAAAAAAAAATATTATCTCATCTTTATTTACAATTTATTGATTACTACCAAGGTTAAGTGCTTAAAATGTTAATTATTGGCCATTTTTACTTTTTGTATAGAATTTAGCAGTCCATGTTTTTTTGATTATTTGTCTACTGTATCCTCAGGATGCATGGTATTTGTCTCTAATACTGCCCTAAATGCTTTAGCTGTCCCACCCTTTATTCATTTGGCCCACTTCCTGCTTCAATTTCCAGCACTACCACACTCTCCCATCATAAGATGTTAGTCTGTTCTTTTCCTGAGGGCTTTTCTGGGAGCAATACAAGGTTTTTTGGTTATAATCAGCTACAACTTGGAAGTGTAAGGAAGTCGATGTCTCACCACCATGAGGGCTGAGGGATGACCATCAAATACTGGGGATGGAACTCCATGTATAAATACCAGAAACTCTCCATCTTCTCATGGAATGATTCCAATACCTCAACACAGATTCTCGGCATACATGGTAGGGCTGAGTCCCACTTGCCCACAAGCTAACCCACTCATGATTAACTTTTTCCCATTTGTTTTTGTCTCAATTTCCCTGTTTCCTTCATGTGCTTCTGAGCTTGCTTCCCAAATATCTACTTGTGTCTAAATCTTTCACTTAGGATCTGCTTTTGAGAACTGAAAAGTATAAAAAAAAGAAGCAAACATGTTTTCTGTCCACACACCCTTTTAAGGCAATATCATTCTCTGTCAAATTTAACTGCTTAATACAGATGACTTATTGGAACACCCACTGAAGAGTGAACATTATCCCTTCAGTAAAGTTGGAACATAGGACTTAGCAATGCTGAGACTTCATTCACCTGGGGAATGCTAGTTGACTCCTGAAACCCTTGTAGGAGATTGCTAGCCTCTGAATATGGAAATAAAAATGGGGTTCTGAGTTGCAAGGCTAAAGAGCAGAGCCTGGACTGAGTAAATTGAATAAAACAGGCTCATATGCCTGTTTGATATATAGAGTCCTGTTTTTATGTTTGCATTCATATATTTATAATCTGTCTATTGTCAAGATATATATGGACTCTCTGAATGTATATATATACATATATATCATTGCCAATTTATTAATTTACAATGAGAAATGCAAGCCAAAATGCTTAAGTAGTCAGATCAGTGTGCTCTTTCCTTGTAGGCAAGTTGTGTGGTGAGCCAAATAAATTATCTACAGATTGCTTGGTGAGCATAAAATCAGAACAGGGAGAATTAGTTGGTCTTAAGAGTGGTCTCTCAGATTAGGCAACTTGAAGCACTCTCATCAACTTCAGGGCCAGCCTTGCCAAGAAACCCATAATGTTGAGTTCACTTAGCCAAAATTGTTCTGTTGGCTGGAGTTTGGCCGGTAACTTTGCATTTAGCTGGCCAACTACTTTCAATTCATTGCAAGCACTCTATAATACAATTAATTTGGTTTCTACTTACAAAATCACAATTGCATTGCAATCCTGTCTCCTCAGATTTGCCCTAGCTCACCTTGAGCCGAGTTGTGAGGGTCCTCAAAATTTCCAGTCACACACTTCCAAATTTGTGGTTAATTTCTATAAAAAATGTAGCTTTCCAACCCTGGTAACAGTTAACTCTGACTTTGTTCCCTTTTCATGAGATGGGAGAGTTTGTATAGGTAGTGTTGTAGAGCTGTCATTTTGCTGTAAAGAAGGATGGAAATTACTTTCAATTTAACAGGTATCTGCTTCGTTTTCCAACGTTGCCTAGTAACATCACCCTCCTGTGTTCCAGTACACTTGTTAACCTGCTATCTCCAGAATAGCCCATATTCTCTTTCTTCCATGCTTCACAATGCTAGAATATCTTCCTTCCCTTATTTCTCAATGAAGACACAACTCAATGGCCACCTCATCTAGTCTTCTAACACCAAAAAGGGGATCTTTTTCTTCCCTTCCACAGCACTTAACTCAACTGTCTATCACAGCACCTCCCCCACTTTAGTATAATCACATATGTGCTCATTTTCCCATCAAGGTATGGACAATCAAGGCCAGAGACTGTAGTCTTATTCACTTCTCTGTTCTCAGAGATTAGCATAGTACCTGATTGTGTAGTGGGTAGCTGTTCCAGCTTTGTCCTGGAAGTACTACCCCCATTGAGGCTTCGGTAACTGTCACACCTACAAAGCGGGGCTGAGACAGGAGTGCTTAAGACCTGAGATCTGGTGTGTCGGCCCTCCTGGTTCCTAGATCCTGGACACTGGAGGTAGATTGAGCAGAGATTTCCAGAGAACACTGCTGGACTGCGCTGCACCTTTCCTGGACCCTGTAACCTACCCCTTTACTTGTAAGTTATCCCACAAAATAAACCTCCCCTTTAACTACATGGAGTTGCCTTAATACTACAACCAATATGATTGTCAGTAAATATTTGAATAAATGAATTATCCAAAGTTCTATAGACAAACGTCCAGGAACCGTTACTAAAAACAACAACAAATGCCCTATAGTCTTGAAAATTATATGACAATAAAATTAATAGTAATTTAGCCAAACTTACAGTGAGCTAAGGTTTGATTCATTCATTCATTCATTCAATAAATATTTGTTGAGTACCTGCAACTTGCCAAACATTGGTAACCAAGTAATGAGCAATGTGTACTAGACCACTACTTCATGAAGTTTATATTCTCTTCAGATACAGACAATAAGCCCATAGTAAAAACAATTCCTAGATGTAGCAATTATTACAAAGAAAATAAAACAGAGTGACATAAAAACAAAAGCCTTGAGTCAAGAGGCATTTTAAATTTTGGATTGAGTAGTCAAGAAAAGGCTTTTTTTATTTATTTATTTATTTATTTTTTTAAAGAATGGCATTTGATCTGATACGTAAATAATGAGAAGAAGCCAGCCATAAAAGGATCTGGGAGAGAATGCACTTTGTGCTGAAAAGCCCAAAAGCAGATACTGGGCACGCCCAGAGTCAATGAGGTAGAAACGGGTGCAGGGTGCTGAGGACATCAAGTTCTGTAGATCTGAAGAATTTGGAAGTGCTGACGGCACAGCACAAGATGGAATCAGAATCTTGTAGGCAGAGTCAGGGCAAGTCCCTCAGATCCTCTTCAAGTTACAGCAAAGATCCTGGAGGATTTTCAGTGGGAGTGCGACCAGGTTTGATTTATGTTTTTAAAAGCTCATTAGGCTATTACAAGCTTCTAAACCAAGATTCCTATCAGGAACACAAATGGAAAGCTATCACGGATTTCTGCTACCGTGGCAACACTCAAGGGAGTGAGACACTGACACCCAAAAGAACAAAAGCTGCAGCATGTCCCCCAGAAAGGTTTGCATTGGATTCCGGAAGGTCATGGAAACCACGCCCCTTTAAAAAGAGACCTTGAACCTAAAGAATGAAGCTGGGTCCCAGATGGATACTTAAAAATCGGGGCGGGAAGAGAAGCAGTCCACAAATGGACTAGAATAGTTTTTCCTAGTTAAGGTATAATTAACTTTCTGCTCACTTCTAGTGGGTAATTATGCTGAGAATTGCCCCTCAACTGCCCGAGATTTTGGAGTTTGGAAGAGAAGAGGGCTAAGCAGAAAGCTGTCCACAGTGCATCTCTTTTTCCCTCTCTAAAAATCACGACAGAGAAAAAAAAAACCAGTCCAACCACTTGGTCTCATTCTCAGCATCTGTCTCAACTTTTGTAGCCATGCCTGGCAGATGTGCTTCTACCAGAACAAGCCTGTGTGCTCTGTGAGGCTACAGGGAATTTTTCTTAAATCAAACTTAGGAGAGATGGGAATGGAGTGCTACTGGACACTTCTTTGGCGTTAGGATTTTTCCTTCGAGTAAACCAAAGAGATTATTTTCTGCTGAAGCCAAAGCAGGGCAGGATAATACCACCAACGAGGGAGCATTTTGGAGAGAGCTAAGTATGGAGACAGTTCGGATCCCCACCCCCAAGTGGGGGCAGGTACACTGGATGAGTAAAGGGGCGAAGGACTATGAATAAAGGGAATTAAACCCTGAAAAACAAGGGAGAGTTTCAAAACAATAAGCAGGAGACCCAGGTACATGCTGAAAAAGGCCAGGAATATATGGTAACAGGATGTCAAACACGTACTGACGACACTTATAAGATATAGTCTTTATATTGTAAAAAAAAAAAAAAAAAAAGAAAGAAAAGGCAAAAATTCCACGGTTTGGACTGCCTCTTAGAAGAAGGGGGTTATTAATATTTGACCTCTCCAAAGACACTTAGAATTCAGGATGCTGGTCAAGGAGCTTGGTGGTGAAGGTGAGGGAATGGTTTAACAGTCTTTGCCAGGTACACACCGTGACGCCAGCATTCAGGCTGTGAATGCATTTAAGATGTTAGGTGAGGGAACTGAAGTCACTTCTTAAGGGAGTGAAGTCAGCTTACCAGAGTTCGGCCACAGGGTTAAATTCATAACACAAGAGCCTTAACCAGTAATCTGGCATCTATCTTCTGTTTTAAAAAAGGAACTCCTGGAGAGAGCTTCTGCTGCTCCCCAAGTGAAAAGGAGCCCCAAGAAGAGGGCAGGAAAAGAACAGAATGTAGTCGCTCCGTGCTGTGAGTAAAATGGCCTACCTAGTGGGAACCTAATGGCAGTGTGTGGGAAGGGCTGATTAATTAACTGAATTGTACGGAAGGACATAATTATAAGTGCCCCACAATTCTATCACAGCGCCTACAGTGAGGACAGCCATTTACTTCACAGCCCTTGAGCACCTGAACCAAGCCTGCACATGGTGCTCCGTCCCCTCCGTATGAACCCCTACTCCCAAGTGGTCTGAAGATAATTTCAGATGAGGTCTGTGCCCTACTAACTGTACTGTATAAACCCGGATACCTGTGGCACGAGAGCCTGAGGGAGAGAACGATGACCTCCAGGTGAAGAGAGCATTTTTGAAGCTGTGGGTGGACTGAGCAGACATTTTCTTCTGCCCTGAAGGCCAGCCTGAAGAGCTGTTGAGAAATGACCTGGGTCGACGCAACGGTTCCCCCTTCCCATCTGCGCAGTATCGCATTGTTCCTTCAGGCCAGGAAGCCTGACACCCAGTAAATCGGTAGAAAGTCAGAATGGCAAGGGGAGAAGCTGTCGGCAGTTCGGACACAGGATATTAGGGAAGGGACTGAATGTCAGAGCTCTGACCGAGGGACACATCACAAATGAGTCAATTTTTATTACAGTGTTTGTCCTGACGTGTTTGAAATATAGCTAACCGTCCAACTCTATGGCACTTGAAAGATTTTGGCCTGACAGTTCCAGAGCCCTTCAATATGGGTGGCATTTCATTTAGAAAAAAATATATGACCATTGGCAGAGGAGGTATAAAGCTGAAAGAGATCCAAGTGACAGTTAGGCAAAGCTCTCTTGGCCTTTTTCTCAACCTCAGAAGGAACTGTTAAGGTGAAATCATACTGTGTTTGCAGTCTTACTTGATCTCCTGGAGAGAGGAAGGGGGCGGCAGGGGCAAAACATTGAATTACACACAGACCATCTGGGTTCAGCTAGGTGACAGAACAAGGGTACGAGGGGCTTAACCTCTCTCCCAGTTATTTTCGCCCTGCCACCTCATCGACAGCACAGGGTTGGTTTGAAAGTCAGCTGAGAAAAAAGTGGACGCGCCTGAAAATGGGAAGAATATAATATATAATATAAAGGCTTATTGTTTGTCATTACTGAAGGCCAATGGCAGCAATTTTTTTCAGTAAAAGGATAGATAGTAGACAATATTGGTGCTCTTTTTTTTTGGCCTTATTTGTTACTATTACTGCCTTTAACCACTAATGAAAGGGTTAAAACAGTCTCAGTCCATAAGTCTTATGAAGCAAGCCACTGGACAGTCTTGACTTGCAGGCTGCAGATTGCTCACCTCTGGCCCAGGTTATTAACATAGCTGGGAACTGGTTATCTACCCCCTTCATATCTGGAATATTCCCTTTGTCAGAAAATCTACCATCTCACCTGTGCAAGCAGCAGAGTGCCCTGAATCTTTACACATCTCCTGGGCTAAAATTCACATGAAGTCTATAAATACTTGAGTGAAATGCTTTATGAATCCTATCACTTTGTACAAGGAAAATACACTAATAAAAACTTTCAAACTTTTCACAAGATGTTCTGTACTTTATCCACACTAAAGGGTGCAAGTCCAGTGGCTTCCTGGATATTTACGATGTTATGCAACAACCATGACTAATTCCAGAATGATTTGTTCACCCACCAAATAAACCCATATGCCTAGGCAGTTGTTCTCAAGTTTTTCTTCGTGCAGCCTGGCTCAGACCCCCAATCTGCTTTCTCTCTCTATGGCCTTGCCTCTTCTGAACATCTTAACACATAGTATATGTCTTTTTGTGTCTGGAGTCCTTTCCTTCCCATAATACTGTCAAGATTAATCAATGTCGTTTTAGATACTATATATGAAAAATGTGTGTGTGTGTGTGTGTGTGTGTGTGTGTGTGTGTGTGTGTGTGACTGCCTTTTTAAAGTGTAAATTACGTTCCATTTTGTGGACATTTTGTTCATCTATTAATTAACTGATGGATGTTTATGTTGTTTCCAGTTTGGGGATATTAAAGTACCATTTCAGGTTGGGGATGAGGTTCAGTGGTAGAATGGCTGCCTAGCATGAAAAGGAGACTCCTGGGTTCAATCTTCAGCATCACAAAACCCAAACTAAACCAAACCAAAGTGATGTGTCTCTGAGCATTCTGTACACATTTTCATGTGAGCATACGTTTTCTTCTTTCAAAAATATTTTGTTTGTTTTTATTTTATGTGCACTGGTGTTTTGCTTTCATGTATGTCTGTAAGGGTGTCAGATTCCCTGGAACTGGAGTTATGGACAGTTGTAAGCTGCCATGTGGGTGCTGGGAATCGAACCCAGGTCCTTTACAAGAGCAACCAGTTCTCTTAACTGCTGAGTCAACTCTCCAGCCCATCAACATATGTTTTCATTTCTCTTGGACTTCCATAGGAAGGAGAATAGCAAGGTGTTCCACCAGGATCTGCATAGTCCCCTGGGAATGGGACAGAGAGTGAAGAGAGGCCACAGCAGGTGTTCTGTTACAGAGCTGGAATGAAACTGGGAGACTAGACTTGGAGGCACTGAGGGAGATACAAATCTCTACAGTTAGTCTGTTTTTCTGGCCAGGGTGGCCTGTGGGTTCCCAGAAAATGCCTGCTGGGGATGGTGGTTTGGGATAAAATTATTTTAACTCTTCCTGTTTCATTGTTTGCTATGTAGCCCAAGTTTGCCTCAAATTTTCAATCCTCCTGCCTCGCTGTCCAGTTCTGGGATTGCAGGCACACCCCCCACCATATCTGGGTCTGATTGGTTAAGACTGCATTCCTGAATTGCTACATATTTTCCAATTTGCTTTTCCTTATTTCCACTTCTATTTTGTTCTGATCAGAAAAAAAAAAGTTGTCCTTGATTCCAATTTCTTTGTAGCCAAGAATATTCTAGTGTTGATATCTTGACTATGGCTTCTATCAACAGAGAGACCTCCAGACCAAATCACAAAGAACTCATAGCCACAAAAATCACAACAGTTGAGTTCTGTCTTGCAATGTCGCAAGAGCAATAGGAACTGCAATAAGCCACAGGGCACCTCTTTTGTGGTGGTCCTCAGCTGCTCCGGGATTTAAATTGCACCACTTATTTCAACCCTCTGGGTAAGACAAAAGGCAGGGAAGACACAGATCCCTTAGGCAGCACCCTGAGAGACTGCACACCTGCTCAACTCCCCCTTCCCCCTGTGGGAGAAATCATGAGCCCAAGTGATCTCTCTCCACTTTGTGCTGTTCTTGAGAGAGGGGCTGGCACAGGGAAGTGAAACTGCTGTTCTCACTACTTGCTTGTTTAAGTGTGGCTGTTCATTGTTTTGTGCTTTTCTGGGATAGCACACTTGATGACTTGTTTTGTTTGTTGGTTTGGCTTGGGTTTTGAGACAGGGTCTGGTTACGTATGGCAAGTTGGCCTTGCTATCTTAGTTACTTACTATCCTACCTGTGCTAGCCTCCTGACTTCTGAGATTTGTGTGCTGTTACATTCAACCAGGTAGGTATCATAACAACTTGGTTAAATTATGGACCTTTCATAAAGATATATTGTGTACACACACACACACACACACACACACACACACACACACACACACACACACCCCACAGTTAAATCAATGTTTTGGGAGATGATTGAAATGTCCTGTCTTGCCATTTTGCAGATGTCACTGGAATCCTATTCTCTTTTCTTTTGGAGAATATTTAAGATAATTGACTCAAAGTCTTTTTTCTGCTAAATACAATGTTTGCGCACCCACAGGGATGGCTCTTGTTTCTTTCTTTTTCCTTTGGCATGGATCCGACTATTTTGTTTCTTTGTATTTCTTATGTTTTGTTCAAAACCGGACATTTTAAATATGATGCGATAATTATGAGGATCATGCTGTTCCTCATTATCATGGTTTGTTGCTGCTTCTTGTGGCTGTTCTTAATTGTGTTTCAGAGCTCTTTAGAGTTTGTGAAGTCTATCCTTTTTGCTGTAACAGGCAATGAAAAGCTCTGTTAAGTTAGCTTGATGTTCAGTTAGTGAAGAAAAATATCTTTCAAGATCCAGCCACTTTCTCTTTATTAAACACTGGCCTGCTTGCTATTTATGAGAACTCGCTTAATTTCCAGAGCTCCAACAAAGTTACTTGTGATAGCTTTTCCAGTTTTTCATTGGTCTTCCTGTGTGGAGAGGCAGAGCAGCGAGAACCCTTCATTCTCCTGCTGTGTTCACTGGCATTATCTGGATCTCATTCTGAAAAACTATTGGGACTATTTAAATGTCTGGAATTGTTCAGGCCTAGGCTCAGTGTGCTGGGCTCTGCTGACTCCCCATGGGAGACCTTGATTTGGGGGATGTGGGGATGTGGGGTGGCTTGGGGGGTTGGGGGGAGAGGAGGGAGGAGATGGGATCTGTGGGTGGTATGTAGAGCGAGTAGAAAATTTCTTAATAAAGAAAAATGAAAAAACAAAACAAAATAAAACAAAACAACTCAGGAAACCAAAAAAAAAGTCATTGAAACAAGGCTGTCAATGAAAAAAATCTGCCTTTAACTCATTGAATTTTTTTTTCTGTTCACCTGGCACATAGGAAGAATACAACTTACCCCTCCAGGTTGTTGTGAAAACTAAGCAGTGTGGTCGAGAAATGTGGTCATGCTAAGATCTAAGCACAAGCTAGCCATCTAAGCAGAAAGTAGATTTCAAGAGAAATGTGTAAAGGATAGGTAAGTGGGACAATGTAGAGGACAACTTGAATGCTAATCCTTCTCTCCCCCATACCAGGAACAGTACTAACACATTACCCATTGAAGAGGTAGGATGAGAAGACAAGTAAAATCATTCTTCACTTTATAATCTTGTCCTTGATCAATCACCAGTGACATCGTTTATGACCTCACTTCATAGAGAGCCCTTCAGATACATACCCAAGGAATTCAAGATATTTGTTTGATTATTAGGAAAACGTTTAGTTTCCTACATTTTCTTCAAAATCTTCAGACTTGTCCAACCAACAAGAAATTCTCTCTCATTTACTTTTTTATTTGTATCACTAGTTTATATGAATTGTTCTTACACCATTGTGTGTGTGTGTGTGTGTCACCCTCTACTGTTCTTCCATTATTGTCCTACAACTTCCTTGAGGCTACTTTTGACATATTTGTCATTGTATTTGCTATCACACTCAGTGTCATGTTGTGCATGTAGTAGATATCTGCATTTTCTTGGGTGTGTGACAAAATACCTGACTAAAGTAACTGAAGGACGGAAAGGTTTACTTTGGCTCACAGTTTGAGAGGCCACAGTCCATCATGGCATTGAAGTCATAGAGCCAAGAGTTTGAAGATCAAGTTCCCTTTCTTCTTTCTATTCAGTAAAAGACCTGGGGATAGTGGCATTTGTCTTTAGGGTGCATCTTCTCTGATCAGTTAGACCATTTTAGAAACATTCTCTCTCTCTCTCTCTCTCTCTCTCTCTCTCTCTCTCTCTCTCTCTCTCTCTCTCTCTC